TCTCTCTCTCTCTCTCTTTCTTTCTTTTTGCTAGAGGGTGTGTGTGCTTGCCAGAAAGAGACAGAGAGACAAAGAGAGGGAGAGAGAAATTACCCCCACCCCCCGTGGGGCATGGTCATGCCTCAATCCCTTTGCTTCCATGTGTCCCTCCTGTTGGGATCTGGGGCACACACACACACGTGCAGTGTTTTTCAAGCTATTAGGGCAGGGATTTTTTTTTTTTTTTGAGAGGCTTTTGCTATAGGGCATGTGCACTCACCAGACAGACCGAGAGAGATAAGAGAGACAGAAAGCAAGAAATCACCCCCCAGGGGGATGGCCACGCCACAATCCCTTCTCCTCCATTCTCCTCTTGGGATCTTGGGCACGCATGCACATGCACCCGGCATGAGTTTAAGCCACCGGGTTCAAGACTCGAACCATGGTCAAGTACATGGGACTCCAGTGACATAGCCATTATGCTAACTGCTAGTCCTAATTTCACTTATTTTTAAGACTGAAATAAATTTCATTCTGTGTGTGTGTTTAAAATTTTGTTTATCCATTTACCTGCCAATGGACATTGGGTTATATAAACATATTTTAAATAAAACAAAAACACAACAAAAACTTTTTTCAACTAATTGATGTACCCACTTTGGGTATCATGAACAATGAGGAAACATGGTAGACCCTCCTGTTCCACAGTGAGACTTCCACGAGCCACCCTTCGCGGTGTTGCTTAGACCTGCATGTGAGACACCTTCCCCGTCCCTCCTCTCACACTGTTCAACAAACATGAATAACCAAACAAACTTGGGCTCTTCTCAGTGCAGTGGGGTTGGGGGAATGGCCAGGCATGAGGATCCTAGGCAAGAATCACTGGAGCCCCAGGAGCCTGGGAAACTCAGGAGCCTATACCTAAAACACGGGCCCAGCTAGAGCGGTGGGATTCAGCGAGCGGGCTGGAGGGAGGCCAGGGTAACTGGGCAGAGCCCAGCACGCAGACCGCTCTGCCCCCCAGCACCGCTCCTGGAGGGAAGCGCACCTAGCCGGCCACCTGTCCCTCTTCCCTCCCTGCAGACTCCTGCTGGCTTTGCCCTGAGAATTTGGAACTCTGCACATGACGCGCCATCTAAACCTCTGCACCAAGATCAGATTCCAGCATGGCTGCTAGCAGCACAAGGCCACATCCCTCGGATGACCCGGGCCCTCTGAATGTGCCTGCCTGAGCCGGTTCAGTGCCACCAGGAACACTGACCGCTTTTGAAAGATGATCCACAACTGGTAATGGGCCTCTCGCCTCCCTTTCTTTTTATCTTTTAGAGAGATTTTTGCTACAGGGTGCATGCACTCACCAGAGAGGCAGAGAAACATAAAGCGAGAAATCTCTCCCTTAGGGGAGAAGGCCACACTGCAATCCCTTCTCCTCCATTCTCTTGAGATTATGGGCATGGACGTACACACACCCGGTATGAGTTTGAAGCCTCTGGGTCCGGCACTCGAACCATGGTCGACTACGTGGGGGGGTCCAGCGATGAAACCACTCCACCATCTGCTGGCCCCACTGGCTTCCCCTTCTAAGAGCATTTACTACAAAGGGCTTACGACTGTAGATATGTCTCTCTTGCAACTCAGAAGCATCTCTCCAGAGGACCTGGGGGCGGTTCCTTTGAAATACACTGATCAGGAAGGGTGGGACAGGGTCTCCCCGGCCCTCTGTCCTCTTCTGTCCTCTCCGTGGGAGGACAGAGTCCCATTTTAGATCTGTCAGCTCCTGGGCACAGCTGGCCTAGCTGGTCACTGGCCGGCTGCTCGCCCTGTCTCACTTCCCTAATTCCGCCCAGCGGGCTCCCTCTTCCCCATTCTCCCTCTGAGTCACCAGGGCTTCAGTCGCATCCATCTGCACTCCGGCACTCAGCACGGAGTGCTCACGCTGCCCTCCTGTCAGTAGTCGCTGTGCGAAATCTGTTCTCACCACTGCAGTGAAAGCCCTGTGCTCATCTTTGACAGCCCCTGCCAACTCCGCTTCCCTTGGGCAACCTGAACTAGCCAGCTCTAGTCTCAGGTCACTATGGATGAATTTCACCCGGGACTCTGCAGGCCCTACCCAAGGCTTCTCCCTGGGGTCTCAGCTCTGCGACTTCCCTTCCGGGGACACTGCCCCTGAACACCCAGGTCAGCACAGGTTTCTGTGTGAGTCCCTGTAGGAACATTGTCTTCTTGCCCTCCAAAATGCTGCACATTTTGGAATTAGATTTTTCCTTGTCTGTGCATTTCTTCTCTCCTGACCAGGCCACGAACCCCTTGGGGGTAGGGACTCTGTGTTTCTTGCACTGCTGCAGCCTCGTTGCCTACACAGACCGTGACACACGTCCGTGAACACAAGAGCAATGCTAAGCGTCTCTGTACGGGCCTAGGAAGCCAAGGGAGCGGCTTCGTGTGCACGGGCAACTCGCTCTTCCCCAGGGCGCAGCCTCGCCTCCCCCTGATGGCGTATCGAGAACTTCCAAACGAGTTACATCATTTTGATCGTGAATGTCCTTGATTTTCCCCAAGTTCACAGAAATCAATGCCTCAAAATAGCCACCTTTCAGGGTGCCCTGGCTTGTGGGTCTTAGACCCATTAAAGATAAGCTCTCTGGGCCAGCCCGTGGCATGGTGGTTAGAGTGGCTGGATCCCACATGGCCAACCACGCAATCTGAGTCCTGGACTGAGCAGCTTGAGAGATTCACTGGGCCATGGGAGTGTGCACGTGTGCCCAAAGTCCTGCAGAGGGAGAGCCGGGGAGGGGTGCGGCGTGGCCGTGCCCTCTCCTCTGCATCCCTCTCTCTGCAAGCACACGCACCCTCTGACAGTACAATCAAATAAGCCCCACCCTGCTCGTCATCTTGGTCGTGGTGGGAGTTGACGGCCCCACACACGAGCCTCCTGCCTGTAAGCGAAGGGCTGGTCCAAAATGACCAGTGGAGGGAACTGCGGACTCCCCGTGCCCCCAGGCGGCGGCGACTCACCGCAATGGCCTTGATGCAGTCAAGGTAGGAGGCTTTCTTCACACAGATGACACGGGGGCTATCTGGAACTTCTTTCTTCATGTGGTCGCGGAAACTGTGGCACTTAGCAGCCTCATGTTCTGAGATGGCACACCATCTCACGGTTTTCTCAGGGACGGCCAGACACAGTCCTGCGGGAGAGAGGCCAGGAGTCTAAGAAATCCACTCCGCGTGCTGGAGACAGAGACGGCATCGTCTTCAGAGGGACCTTGACGGCCACGTCCCCTCTGTCCTGTCCACGTATCCCTGTTCAGGAGCACCTCAGGGCACCGCTTCTGCACTCGAAGGCCAGGCCAGAAGGTGCCCTAACGGCCTCCCCGGTTCGGCTGACAGCCCTGTGCCGGCCAGGCCGGTGCTGGCATGACCAGCAGCTCCCAAGCGGAGGTGACAGTCTGCTCCTCTGTTCTGTGTGTCCTTCCCTGTCACCACCCCTGACCCTGTGCAGCAGGCATGCACTGGCTTTGTCTGCCGCCAGTGCCTTGGTCTGAAGCCCCAGCTCCGGGAAGACAGCAGGCCGGAGTCGCCACCCCTTCGCGATGCGAAAGCTGGACTCAGAGAACGTTGCTTTTTTGCCCAAGGTTCTCCCCACCCCCGGCTTCTTAGCGGCCACCCAGTCCTAGAACCTGAGCCTCTAGTGCCGTGGTCTGCTGCCTGGGCACAAAAGAAGGTAACCTTTGAGGTTACTTTGCCAGCTGGTAACGGGGTGAATGAATGCAAAGGTCTGGGACCAGCAGTTGGCGTAACAGCTATGTCGCTGGACAGCTATGTAGTT